ATTTACTAATTTACTTATTATTTATTCCCATTCTGCAACATCGAGTCACAAACATTTATTTTTAAGACAAAAACAAATATGCAGGTAGTAATTAATGAATTATATTTCATTTAAACTCATATCTCGTGCATGGGCCATGCATTTTTTCAATGAAATCTTTGGAAATAGTCACCCTCTTATTTATGTGCGGTGGAGAAAAAAAGTCGGTTACTTTTCTTTATTTACAAATAAATGTAAATGCTGTTTACATATTTTTTAAATGTAGCCTGCAGCCGTTTAACGTTTGTCTCACTATTTGTTTACTCTTTCTTGGTTTGCTGTTTGGTTCACAGGATTTGTGCTCTGTTGTGCGGTTGTTTGGTTGTTTGGCATGTATTGTCGTACCTGCAATCATTTGTATCCGTTGTCCTGTCATTTAATATCCTGTTCGTAGTCTTGGCAGCAGCAACAGCTTACAGTTGTGCCTCTTGGCATCACTTCTTGTTGTTGGTGGTTCTGTTTCTGTTTCTGTTTCTGCTTCTGCTTCCACTCCCACTCCTATGACTGGCTCCTTGTTTAGTTATGCGTGACATGAAGCTCAATGGGATGCGGCATGCCACATGCCGCATGCCGCATGCCTCATGCCCAATGCCTTTTGCTATTTTCCTCGGCTATTGTGATATATGGTTTCAATTTTGAAACATTGTCGTATTGTTTATTTATCTACCTGCTGTTTGTTTATTTGTTTCTGATATTTCTTGTATCGGACTTAGAAATTGAACGTGTTTGCAATTGTAATTTGAATATTTTGCATTTTTATTTTATATAAAAAGTAATTCAAGTGATGTGGCTGTGTGTGTGTTTTGAATTCTTAGTAAAAAACAATTAAATATAATGGAAAAATAGGAAAATGCGATAATTCATGGTTTTATGCAAAAGAAGAAACAAAAATTCATAATTGACTACGAATTTAAACAATTGAATGTATATAGACGTATTTATACCCTATATGACGGGCCTTTTATGATTTTTATTTTTTGCCAAACTTTGAATGCCTTAGACGAAAAAATCTAAATAAAACATGAAAGGAATGCTAAAGTCGAGTAGGGTGAATTCTTAAATACCCTACACCACAAAAAAAAAAAAAAATGTATTTAAAAAATTTAATTAATTAATTTAAATATAACATATTCCATAATACATGAACATTTACATCAGAATTGTGTCTATGCGTGTTTGTGTAATTATGTATGTATTCATTACATAATTATGGCAAAGCAGCAACAAATCCAGCTGCGGGCAGAGCTTAGGCTTGGTTATATGGCTATAACTTTCTTTCTAATCAACCTATCATATTGAAACTTGGTATACAGATATATAATCACTAACTGGTGACAATGTGACTAACAAATGTTAGTTCAAAATTCCAAGAATTACGGGAGTTATAGAAAATCGCATATATGGGGGGAGTGGGGGGTTGGATCAGAAAAAATGAACAAACTCGTCCTTTCTCGGGCTCAGGAGAATCTGGATACCAAGTTTGGTTATTCTAGCTCTTATACTTTCTGAGATCCTTGTGTTCATACAGACAGACAGGCGGACAGACGGACAAACAGACAGACAGACAGGCAGACGGACACGGTTATATCGACTCGACTTGTCATCTTGATCAAGAATATATATACTTTGTGGGGTCTGCCACGCCTCCTTCTGTGTGTTCCATGTACACTCGCACAAAACTAATATACCCTTTTACCCTTTGGGTACAGGGTATAATAAAATGTTCGCAGATTAGAGGAAATTATATTATTTTCCCTTATCGAGTATAGTTGCCGTAGCTTTAATACTATCGACGATATTCCACGCATTTTTCGAATTTAGCGAACGAAAATGTGGTATACCGAAAGCCTCTTGGATGCAGTCTATAATTTTACTATACACGTAATCCCATGAGTATAGTATTACTAAGCTAATATTTTACAATTTTGAATTCATAAATGCTGGGTGGTGTGCCTATATAAAGCTGAAACGAGCCGGCAATGGCGTTAGTTTTGTGAAACCTTTATAGTTGATTTGAGCAATGTATAAATGTTTATAAAAAAATTTCATTACAACTAATTGAAAATGCTTCAAAAAATTGTGTTCGCTGGCATTTTAGTTGCTTTCATTTGTGTCCAGATCGGTGGGTGTACCAAGCGAGATTTATTTCCAAAATATTATTTATTTGATTGTATTTGTTATTCAATTGATTTAATTTTCCCAGCTGCCTCATTGCAATGCTTTCAGTGTGGAATAGCTATTAAATGTGACGCACCTAAGCTGCTTAACTGTAAAAATCAGCTAGCTATTGTAACCGCTAATGTCCTGATGTTCTTCGAATCCAATGTGACAAAATCGAATAGCAGCAACCCGGACTTTGAGTGTCTCCATGTTGTCTACGAAACTAGTCTTTGTGAGTACCTTTATAGTTTGTGCATGCGATCGGATCTACATATCGCATACTTATCGATTTTAGTTACTAAGGAGTACCGAGGCTGCGTTTTTAAAGGCTCCACAAAAGCCTTACAACCAAAGAAACTTTTCACGCGAACAAAATGGGATCTTTGCGACAAGGATGGCTGCAACAAAAACCCAGCGGGCACAATTAACAGCTCTGGGGCAACTATTCTAAGCACTCTGTTGGGTCTGCTAATGCTCAAAATATATTCCTGATTACCCGTTAAGTCTAAATATAAAAAAATATTTCCGCTTCACGTTAGAAAAGCTAATTATTTGGGAATTTTAATTTGTTGGACCTTGAATTATTTACTTTTATTTACTTTTACAGAAGATCAGCTCGAATATATAGTATAGCTGCAATGTATAAGAGTGTATCTCTGGCACCTTCCTATTTGAATTGTATTTAATTAAATCTGTAGTATCCTATTAACATTTTGATTAATTAACTTTTGGGTTACTTTAAAAATGTATTGCTTTGAATTTCGAATTAAAAATGAGTAATATTTGAGTAAAAAATCCTGTTGATAGGATCGGTATTATATTTATTCCCATTTCAGTGAAACCGCGATGTAAAAACAGAAACCCTGTTAAGTATGGGAAGCTGCTGTTTCCATATATATAAATAATCTGCAATGCCAAAACATCTGCGATAAGCCCCTACTTAGTCACTTCCCATAACATATGTATGCTTTACATACTATATGTATTTAAATATTATCGCGTCGTTCTGCATAATTTAACAAAGAATTTAAATATTATTTCCATAAAAAAGCTGGACGAGAACGGAACTCTGCTTGCCGTCGAGTCGAGTGAATGGGAATTAAAAATCAAGTGAATAATGCTCAATAGTATGTTGTTAGCTGGTTTTTCAATTGTTTTTCTTGGTGCACAAGTTGGTGAGTGAAGAATTATGTGTACATATTCTCCTTCTATATATTTTCTGAAATTGTACTTTTAGCGGCTTCAATAAAATGCGACCAATCTAGAACAATCAAAGAATCGACAAATGCCAGCTCCAAAAGCTGGATCAAATGTCATTCCAATAGGTTAAGAGCATCTGAAGTCCTTAGTTTCAAATATCTTAATATTCTAAAAAGTGAGTACCAACGTCTTTGTTTATGCCACCATTTAACAAAATCCCCTTCGGAGAAAACCGATAAAAGTCAAGCGGACGTTGCAAATGAATTGAAAATGAAAAATGCGAAAAAATGCAACGGGAACAGTGGCTTTAGTCTTTTGGGCACAATGTTAACTTTTCTGGTTGCCAGAATTCTAAATCTTTAAAGAGCAACTAAGCTATTAAACAGTGTTCAGACGAGAAGGATGGACGCACCTGATCGTGGAGAAAGTCCTTTCCTTTCATTTCAGGTAGATAGGTTCGCAGTAAGTTTGAGATTCGATGAGCATTTTATTTTGTATTTATTTAATTTATATCTAAGAATATTGTAGATAGTACATAATAATTTCAACTTGAAAATACAGTTATGTAAAACCAATTATATTTAACTGCAGGATAGTGGCCAGATTGAAATTAGAACAAAAATGTATTTTACTTTTTTGTCAGCATATAATTTAAAAAAATATATTTTTAATAAAAAGTAAAGAAAACAATGTTAACACCTAATTATTATCTTTAAAATGTAGGTATTTATGTTATATCTGAGTCATATATATTATTGTAGAAAGAGGGAAAGGGTGTCCCACAAATAAGACACTGTCGTTCCTCGGGTCTAGTTGAGTCGATCGTAACTTTCGCAGACAGCCCTCTCTGTTAGCTTTGTAAGAGAACGGGGAATAAGAGAGGCCATTAGTCAGCTATAAAGAGAGAGAAAAAAAAAAATATATATATATATATACATACGCACTGTTGTGTGCCACATCTGTATGTCTATTGACATCTGCTTTGGTTAATCATACGGTGACTAATAATGCCTTTTAAATACTATATACTACCCGGTAGCTTTAATAAATTTTTTTTTATCACGAAATAGTGTATTTTAAATGATTTTTATTTCTATTTTATTTGCTATTATCTGAAATGTTATATTGGAAGAAAAATATTAACAGACGCCTGGTTGCTACCGACCTATAAAGATAAGTGCCAAGAATATATGTACATTTGTGTATATATGTATATATTTTCACCATTTGTAAATACCCTTTTCAGTACAAATAGCGTTGAACTGGGTATCAACGACTTTTCGCTCACCTACTTGTATTCACAACAAATCTACTGAATTATAAAAGATAGAACGTCTTCAAATAAAACTCTTTGAATGATGAATGTAAAAGCGGTTGAGTAGAAAGATCTGAAAGCTGCATATTTAAAAAAGTTATTTGAATAAGTGAGCTTTATTCTTAGCCACTTGGCTAAGCCATGTGCAGAATGTGTAGAGCATACTTTTACGGTCTTTTATATCATTGCTAAGGCGATAAGCTGCGAGATAATTCCAATAGAACGCCGAACCCCGCATATACTCGTACTATATATAAAGATAACAGCTCACTGCGCGAGAAGTTTAGTTCGTGACGAAGTGTTGAGAAGGTGAGAAGTGTTAAGAAGAAAAAATAATTTATATCAGAAGAACAATATGTACAAAAAAGTGTTGTGCGTTTGCTTGCTAATTGCGTTCGTTTCTGTGCAATTGGGTGAGTGTTGAGATGAGTGTTGAGCTAAAAACAGGACTAATTTCATTCGCCATCCGATCTCTAGCCACATCGCTGACTTGCTACCACTGCACCACAGAGCAGGACTGCAAAAAGCCCCAATTGGTAACATGTACGAATGCTACGGCTAACGAAACCAGCTATAGTTTGGGATACTATCATCAAAATGTGCCCGCCATTAATGGAAGTACGCGCTTCGACTGTCTAAGGATACGTTACACACAAGGAACAGGAAGCAGTGAGTGTACAGCATGAGAAGATATCGTCCCGCTAACAATTTGTACTATTCTAGAAAAACAAGTGGTTAATCAAATACATGGGTGTGTGCATCCCAATGTTTATGCGTGCAGTTTGTCGCTGAAACCCGAATATGCCTCGAATGGCTGGAATAAGGAGTATTGCAACATTTGCAGTGGCGATAAGTGCAACAAGAACCCGGCTGCCACCTATAGCAGCAGCTTCTACACGATCCTCACCACATCATTAGCTCTGATCTTGACCAAGTTGTATGCCTAAAGGAAATGAGTTTAAAGCGATTCTAGTTGAGCATCTGGCTCTTTTCTGAGTCATGCGCATCCATTTTTTAATTTAGTCGCCGATATCTGGCTGCTATTTAATTATGGTAAAGATTGTCGACGCGATAAGATACGAAGCCTCTTACCAAATATTTTCACAACAGTGGCAATAATAAAGTAAATGACTTATTTATATACTCGTACATACTTACATATACAAGTATTCAGAGACCATTGATCAAGCTCTAATGCTCAGACCGGCTGCGATTAGCCAAACTATAAAATACTGATATGGAATATTCATATACATACAAGTATGTCTGTGTTTCTGCTATAGATTTTGTGGCCCCTTTCGATAATAAGTTATAGCTTTTAGGAAATTAACTGCCGAATCGTGAACAAGAACTTGAAATTAAATTGTAAATAAATTGCATTCTATTTTGGTTTGTTAGCCCTTGTCAGCTTTAGTTGGTTGTTCGGAACTTTGTGTGGGCTTCCAATTGTTCAGTTTTAGTTCTGTCTGTGAACGCTCCAATAAACGTTATATCAGATCTAAGCCAAGTACTAGTACTACATTTTTACTTACCGTTTGCTTGAGTTTTCGGAAAATCTTTTAGATTGTTGGATACTATTTGCTTGCGAATTGACATTTAGTCAAAACAAATTTGGAATAGGTCAGCTATAAATAAAAAAGGGGAAGAACTCCCGTAATTCTTGGAACTATTTGGCAATTACATTCCGTTAGTAGTTTATATCTCCTTATGTTCAGGTTCATTACAAATACCAATTTGTAAAATGAGAAATTATTTTATAGTATTAACATTATTAAATTAAAACCTATATTTTTGATTTATTTAGAGAAGTTTCTATTCTACGATTCTAAATATTTATGCATTTTAAAGTGATATTTGAAACCAATATCTTCTACGTTTCAATCTCAATTGTCTCAATACTTTTCCTCAATTGACTCCTCCATTTTAGGTGGCCTGGGTTGTCTTAAAATTTGTCGATAAAAGTTGAAATTAATAGAAACTTCTATGTATATGCTAGGTCTATTTAATAAATAAAAAAGCCACATGGACTCCTAAAATACTTGTAAGTACTGCTAGCCGCAATTATCATACTTTTCTTCCAATCGGCATTTAAAAATCTACAGAGCTGGCTAGATTGGCAACACTGCTGCAGCTATTGGACGATTATAAGAGAGGAGAATTAAGAAATCTCTTCATCACGCCTCAACACATGATGGCTTCGCCAAAAAAAGGCCACACACATAAAACTGAAATAAAACAGTTGCATTTGCTCTCCAGATTTTAATATTCCCAATGATGTTGACTTTTAAGCTATGTAGATAAGAAGTGCTCTTAAATTATACATACATACATACGTATTTGTAATGTGTATGCATATATACAAGTATGTATGTATGTATGTTTATGCATTTAACATATGCCTCTTCTTTCTCCAACACCGTCACAGTTCGGCTTGTTGTTGGCAGACAAAATGTCGCCATAACAAAACAGAAAGAGACACAAAATAGGAGAGAAGAGAACAACATTTTTTGTACTTGCCGCTCGCCGTACTGTGCCATTTTTTTCGACGTCTTCATTCATGAGTGGTGGTTTTTAATTTCCCTACATTTGTCAGGGGGGTGGATAAGATCTATGAAGTTACGCAAAGGAGCGCGAGAGTTCAATAAGATCCGTCGCTGGGATTAAGAGAGCGTGTCTGGTTCATAATTCTCTTAAAAATATGTAAGAAAAAAAGTGCATTGACATTAATTTACAATGTTATGTGTGTATGTGTGTGTATGCGTGCAGACAAGGTTAGGACACAGACAAGGGCGTATGCAATTTTTTATAAGAAAAAATAAAATAAAATTGAGATCAAATTATGTATAATGCGTTCAAATAATAATTTATGCGTTAGTTACATTTTAAAGCCAAATAGTGTGCCATAATGATGAATGTGCGATTGACTTCATATTGCTAAATTTTTTTTTGGGGGGGGCAAAGACCCCCCCCTCCCCCCCTGTCACGTCATTGGACGTAGCAGAAAAAATATTCCATTACCAGTGGGCTTGTTGTTGGTGAGTAAGTGATTGTGGATAAACAGTTAAATATTTTTTTATATATGTAAGTGCCAGGCACGTGGTGGCTCTTTCGGCTCTTAGTGCTCTTTTTTTATGTTTTTGTAAGTGAGAGAGACGCACAAGCAGAGCGCAGTTCGCGAGCGAGCTTACAAAAACAAAGTACTTGGAGTGGTCGCCAGCCATACGCACACCAGATTGCGGCAAAAACAAAATACAATGTGTTTGTATTTGTTTCAGTAACTTTTGTCCCTTGTTATCAACTATAGACATGAGCCATTCAGAACTATAAAGATAACAATTGACTATGAAGCTACAATTGTTATATACATACATACATAGGTGGTTCATATGATCGTAGCGAGGGGGGCATTAAAGACGGATTACTTTCAGGCAAGCCGCAAAGGCAAAATCAGTTTTGTAAACTAGCAGCTTTCTTATTACTCTCGCTCCATCCGTTGCTTGGTTTTGAAAAGGAAGTGATTAAATTTAAAAAAAGGGGTGAGAACCTGGCTACGCCCATGTGGGTGTATTTTGATATATTTATAGTTGTAGGGCCGTACGATTATTCAGTTAGGCACGGTCTACTAACAGTTTCACGTTACTTGCAAACATTGTGAAAGAATTAGTGATGAGTCATCAGGGTGTGAAAATGCTGAACAAAGTGTTCTTTATTACGGCTTTTCTGGCTTATTATGGTCTGCAGCAAGGTAAGCTTGAAGGAAGAAAGGAAAATATAAATCAGTTGCAACTAATTGTGTACCTTTAGTGGATGCATTGGATTGCTATAAGTGCACCTCAATCCTGGACTGCAGGGCACCACACCTGGTTACGTGTTCGAATGCGGAGGCCAACGAAACTAGCGTGTTCTTGGGGCGCTACCACAACCATGTACCCACAGTTAACCAAAGCTCATACTTTAAATGCATTTCCCTAAACTATACATCTATAACTACAGACGAATGGAAGGGATGTGCGCATCCCCAAGCGTATGCCTGTTCCTTAATGTTGAATAATGCGAATTATGTGAGAACCTGCTCCACCTGCAATACGAATAAATGCAATGGGAGTGGCAGTTCGAGCAGCAGCTTTTACAGTATACTAGTGGGCACACTATTGGCTCTGATTTTGGCCAAGTTCTACTAATATAAATTTATCTACATCCACAACTATTTGTATGATAATTTATAAAATATATGGTCTCTTAGTGATTCTTTTTGGTTACGAAGAAGTCGAAAGGTGTATTAGTTACATATTCAATTGGATAGTTATTGTTTACGAAATAAATTAAGGTTTCGGATGATTTATTTCCGAGTTAAAATTGAATTATTGAGTGCCTATTTTATTTTGGATTCAAGCTCGTTCTAGCCTCCGTATATGTATGAGAATCTGTAATAATTGTAGCAAATATAAAATTTGAAGTCATCAAGTTTCTTCGGTCTTCAATTGCTTTCACTATCCATTGTATTATTGCCATCGTATTATTATTTCTAGTCTTTGAAGGTCTTCCATCATGTTTCGAATGTTTCCTATATATTTCACATACTTACCGAACTTTGTAGGGAATATTTTACAAAGTTTTAAAGATTTCTTTAAGGCTAAATCAAAATAATAAATAGACTGTAGCGAATAATTTACAGTCTTATTTATTATTTAGAATTAAAGAAATCTTTTTGAATTGTATAAATAATTTGAATTCAATTAGATTTTGTAAATCCCCATATCCAGAGGGCTGTATGTTGGATAGTGAGGGATTGAGGATGATAGCTTTTATAGTTTTCTATATAGATGACGATTTGAGTGGTTTGAATGAAACAATCATGCTTTTACAATGCCTTTGCTATCTGCTTACAATTTTGATACGCATTTCAAAGAAAACACTATTATTGTTAAGATATTTGTAACAATAATTTTGTAAAGTCCCTTGCTATCAACTCTGTATTTTACAATGTCTCTCAGTAAAGGCTATTATTATGTTTATTTTAGATTAAAAAATAAATTAGTTCAAGTATTTTCCACACGTTGTTTGGTTTTTCTACTTAGTCCACTAAATATTAAGTTTAATTATTTGTTATTAGGTGCCTTTCTTCGCTGTTTTTTGCAACAATAAATTCGCCTTCTTCCAGCTGCACAAGATTTTCTTGATTCTTATGTTCAAATTATACTTTCTACCTTCTGCTTAAAACTTTCCTCTCTTTGCGGTTAAATATTAATACAACTTTCCTTATCAGATCGAAGATTCTATGTTTTATTTCTTGAGTAGTTTATTTAAGGTATTATTTCTCACACAGCTTTTCTTTAATTGTTGTTTGTTTGTTGTGAATCGAATTCCTAGTGAGATATTCATTTTATTTGATTAGATTGCTCCCATTTAGGCTTTGTTAAAAGGCGCTTTTAAACTTTATATTGACAGCATGTTCTTATCAGCTTAAGAAATAAATAAATCACCATTAATATAAGATACTATAATTTGACAAATGTGCCGCCTTTCAGTCAAACTTAGTCATTCTATCGGTTAGTAACTGTGGCTTTCTGGTACTTTTCGTGGGGGGCTTCTACATAATGTGCCTAAACAGATAAGCTTTATCTAAAAATCATGTCGTAGTTATCTGAATAGCTGCGGCATTCGTAATACTTCTCCACTATCCACTGATAGGCTATCAATTTTCACACTAAAAAGCTTGGCACAAGCCCAACAACAGTAAGTGTTTATCACGATAATGTGGCAGATATCGGGAACAGCAGCAGCTACGAGTGTATATGGATTATGTACACTTACGGAACTAGTGAGTAGCATTCAGGTTTCTGGGGTTTGCAGATCAAAGCAACGCCTTCTTTCAGACCAGACCGATGAGTGGAAGGGCTGTGTCTATCCCGCGCTGAAAGCCTGCAGCTTGCAAGTCAAACTCGAGTATGCGGTACAGAGTTTCACGAGAATTTGCAACACGTGCAACAAAACCGACTGCAATCCGGCGGGTACTTTTAGCAGCAGCTGGTACAGTGTTTTGGGAACAACAATCGCATTGCTTCTAGCCAAGATGTATGCGTTTTCTTATTAAAAATGTGCAGCTTCAAATTGTAGTTAACAATAATATTGACCTGAGAAAGCAGAAAGAATTATTTAATTATTTAGTTATTGTCGCACGGCTTAAGTTTACTGAATATGTGGAGTTTCCTTCTAAAAATACAGTACATAAATTGTTATGAAAAAGAATTGCAATAGCGATAGAAATCGGTATATTTTAAAATTTTTTCTTGATAAAGCCTAAGCTAATTATGCAAAACTTTGCTTTCCATATTGCCGTTTCGAACATTTTTACTTTAAAGACACATACGTATAGACATGCTGTTGAAAATTGCGATAAAATCAAGGAAATGAAGTTTTAAGTGAACAAGAGAGAAGTATTTACAAATAGCCGGAATTAAAAAAAAAAACAAGACAAAAAAAAAGCTTACAAACATACATATTGGATCGAATTCCCATTTGCAAATCGTTGGCCAAACATAATTTCTTAAACAAATGGTGACTGGTGCTGATAAATGAACTACAAGCGACAAAGTTGTGTTAAAACCATCCTGGTCCAAGCCCAAATGATGTGCCAGCCAGGACTCAAAAGCTGGGAAACTTGAGCTGTGCATTTGGTGGGATTGGAAGGAAAACATTGGCCAAACATTGAACTCGAACTATTATATATTATCAATAAGATAGCGATTGCCAAGAAGCGACCCCAATTGGCCAATAGAACACACATTGTTGTTCATCAGGACAGCTGCAGTCTACACATATATTGAATATTGAAAGTCCAGAAGCTCAGGAAGGATTTACTGCATTCATTTTTTGGACATTAAAAAATTTCTTGGGGGAAAAAATGCATTCATTAGAGAACTAAGAAAATTTGTTGATTGAGTTTTCCAGCAGTAAGAACAAACGTTTTTTGAGTGCGTTATTATGAAACCATATCTGAACTTATTTAAAATGTTGTATTTTGAAAGAAGAAAGCAACTTTGCAAAATAAATTGCAACAAAATCATGGGATATCCATGAGAACTTAAGGAGCAGAAATACCGAAGTAACTGCAACGAATTAGCTTTTACATTATGATTGTTTAATTGTGTTAATTAAATTTTTCCAAATATGCTAAGTCTCCAACTCCCTTAAGCCCCAGCATATTGGCTTAATTTATAATTTAATTATAATAATATAATAACATTTTCAATTTAAATCAATTCGTTGTATGCCAGTCCAATTATAAAAGTCTCAGCATATAAGTATAGACATAATATTGGTTCAAGTTATTGTGAATTCTTCATCGTTACTTTGTTAATGATCGGCCATTAGTTCCAGTAGGTCCAACAGATCTTGATGCATCCTCTTAATTTTTTTCTTCAGAGATATTTTATCAAGAGCTAAATGGAATGTTCTTTATTAAAAAATTCCATACATATTTTGAGAATACTTACAAAAAACCATTACAATTATGCTTAAAATGAGCAAAATCTGAAGAAACCTGCACATAGTGTTGGCTAGAAAGCGCCAATAGACTGACTGCGCTGTTCAGTTCTTAGGCCTCCACTTTTCATTTAATATGATATGTTATGAAAGGCCTTACAAATGTGTTGTAGTTTAATTAATGTTTATATTTTTGCAGCTTTCCAGTTAAGGTATTAATTATTACATTTGAATTGGCGTGCATACAATACCGAGCTATTGTGAAATCACTCATCAGCATGACTACCTGAACATATGTGTATGCATGTGCTTTAAATAAATACAATAAATAATAATTTTTTTACGAAATTAAATCTGTTGAACGCAGCAATTTATTATTTCGCGTGAAACCAAATAGTTTTCTCGCCGCAAATATCTGTGTTTGGCCCATTTCGCTGTTTACATATTACAGTGTTTTCGCTCAACATGCGGCGAAATGCACTGCACCTTGATCGTAGAAGAGAGAGCGCCGACTGAGAGCAAGCGCAGCTTCACTTTTAAAAACTCCAATTTAGTTCTGCTGCAACGATCGCGTCGTTAAGTCGCAGAAGCGCAGTTCGGTTCGTTGTCCTTTTCATTCATTTATTCCACTTCATTTAGTTGTAAAAAAGAGTGTGTTTAAAGTGTAAAATTTTAATTATCGCTTTATTTAATTATGCTTTGCATTTTTTGCCCGTGCTTTTGTTATGCACTTTGTGAATGCTATATTATTTAATTGTTGTTTGTTTGTCTGTGTGTTAATTTTTAGCATATTAGCATTAATGCGCATTTTTCAGCCACCGCCGTCAATTATGGAAGCGCCATCGAGTGGGTAAGTTTGAAAATTGATTCTCTTTGTTGTTGTTGTATACGTACTATGTATACTACCCCAAGCTTCTGCGGACAGCAAGCAAGGGGCGAACAAAAACATGAAATAGCTGTGGTTTTCCACAGTTGTTTTATTTGCCTTTGCATCGAACGAGCAGTGAAGAGTGTGAGGTACCGTTAAGTAAGCGTGCCGCTCTCGCTCGCAAAGTCGAGTTGTGTCTTCTTCTTGCATAAACTCTCTTATGCTTCTTACTTAACTGCTCTTAAATCATTTCTCTTATTATTGCTATGCATACATTTTCAAATTGCATTTAAAGTTTAAGGTTAGTTTTTTTATGAATATGTGTGTTCCTGCTATACGACTTTAAAGATTTTTGTTTTGTTTATTATTTAAATATATTGGTAAAATGTGTACAATATAATGAACTCATAGGGTTTTGACATGCGATCACCCTTAGGCGTTCTTTTTTTTGTTTTATGGCAAAGCCCCATATATACATAAAGTTCCTTGAATACATACATGTATACATACGTGAGCTTCGTTACTCGCCATTTGTAATGCTTTCTCTACTCGGCATTAGTCGGAAAATAAAAATGGAAATTACCATTAAAAGTTTTTGTAGCATACTTTTTGGCTCCTGCGTAAAATACTTATTACCACTGCTAGTGAAGAGTGTAAAGAAATGGTATTAAGTGGAATTTCTTTAGGGAATTATGTTCTTTTTAGAACTTTTCTTATATTAAACTACTGATTGAAACTATGTTGAATTACTTTTTAGCTCAGCTCGCACTTAATTCTGTGTTTTCATTATTTTGTAACGAGCTTAACAACAACAAAGAAAGCATATTTGAGGTAATATTAGGTTGTCAAGAAGTTTCTTTGCAATGTTAGCTGTTGTTATAGTTTTTAATGCAGACACATATAGTAGCCGCAGTCGGCTTAATTTCATTTATTTTCAACATTCTTTATTGCTTAGATAAAGTGTCAAGGGAAAAGGTACATAGCTATTTATTTGTTTAATTGGAATTG